AGATTTTTAGAGTGTAATTTCAAATTTTTGTAAAAATATTAGTATTTTGATATGGAATTAATTTCTATAATTGTATGGACTGAATCAAAATTTATTGTGGCCAAATTCGAGCCGTTCAGAAGTTGATACGCGCAGAATGGGATTTTTGGAGTATTGTTCAGCTTGCTCGGCCTTGGATTCGTCTTGTTCGAGGTAAGTAACTCTTCTAATCTTGGAGCTGAGGGTATGAACCCTGAATATACGTATTATATGAATTGTATGGAGGTGGCGCACATGCTAGGTGACGGGCTTGTGGGCGTGCATCATAAAAATTGTGACGTAATTGTTCCGTGGAATTTTGTAGTGAAATAATCTTGGCATTTTCCATGCAGTTTTATGTGTTAAAGAAATTAAGTTGAGAATCATATTAAAAATCATGTGAGGCTATGTGCCAGTTTTATTGAGACCCATAGAGGTCATATTGCTGTGAATTATTTGTTTATAATAAAATTTCATACTCAGTCATATTCATTTCATTGCATATCATACCTTAGTCTCTATTATTTATTGATACATCATATCATCATTTTGGGGCTATTTTCATGACATTGTGAGCCCATGAGAGAGAGACTTGAGAGATTGATGACTGAAGGAGGACGAGAGCCTGACTGTGAGCATATTATTATGTGGATCGGGGATGCCCGCCTGCAGCAGGCCATATTGGCTTTATTATTATTATTATTATTATTATTATTATTATGTGGATCGGGACTGCCCGCATACAGCAGGCCTTATAGGCTTTACTATAGCACGTGAGTTGTCCGTGCGGTTTATAGCGCTTGGGCTGAAGAAGCCCCTCCGGAGTCTGTACACCCCCAGTGAGCATGGATGATACTATTAAGGGATGGATTTCCCTGGACATGGATTTGTCCGAAGTATTTACTACCTGGAGATGGATTTCTCCACAGGGTTAAGTGGGGGAGAATGTAACGACCTGACTCGTTTTAAGTATTATAACCTCGTTCCCCCATTTACTGCTTAAGTTATGCTTTACAGTGATGTTATGACTTACCGGGTTAGTTGGTTCGGGTTCGGAAGGATTTCGGAGTGAATTGAGATATTTAGTCTCATAAGTGAAAACTTAAGTTGGAAAAAATTGACCGGATGTGGATTTATGTGTAAACGACCTCGAATTTGAATTCTGAGGATTCCAATAGCTCCGTATGATAATTTTGGACTTAGGAACATGTCCGAAAAGTTATTTGGAGGTCCATAGTGGAATTAGACTTGAAATGACGAAAGTTGAATTTTTAGGAAGTTTGACCGAGGGGTTGACTTTTTGATATCTGGGTAGGAATCCAGTTCTAAAATTTTTATAGCTCTGTTATGTCATTTATGAATTGTGTGCAAAATTTGAAATCATTTCGGATTGATTTGATGTATTTCGGCACAAGATATATAATTTGAAAGTTCAAAGTTCATAGATTTTTTATTTGAGGTGCGATTCATCGTTTTGATGTTGTTTGATGTGATTTGAGGCCTCAAGTAGGTCTGTGTTATGTTTTAAGACTTGTTGATATGTTTGGTTGAGGTCCCGGGGGCCTTGGGTGAGTTTCAGAGTTAACGGATCAAATTTGGACTTAGAACAAAGCTGGAAATTTGCTGCCTACTGATGCAATCGCACCTGCGGAGTTTGGCTTGCAAGTGCGAGCCCACAGAAGCGAGCTTTACAAGAGCAAAAGCGGCAAGAGGCTGGTGAGGCAGAGTGCGCAGGTGCGAGAATTTTACAGCACCTGCGAGGCCGCACCTGCGAGAAGGAACGCGCAGAAGCGGAGGGAGCGTTTTGGGCGATCGCAGATGTGGACATTTCGTCGCACCTGCGAGACTGCAGATGCGGCTAATCAGGTCGCAGGTGCGACATGCCCTGAACAGAATAAAATTGGAGGAGTTCCGAGTTTTTGCCATTTTTGGGTATTTCAAGCTCAGTTTGGGCGATTCTTGAGCGAGAAATCACGGAAAATCTTGAGGTAAGTCACTTGTGATCATTTCTACTCCATAATATTGAGGTGTAAATCGGGGATTTGAACCTACGGATTTGAAAATAAGATTTGAGGGTTTGGAGGTCGAGTTGAGGTCGCATTTTGGTAAAATTAGTATGGTTAGACTCATGGTTGAATGGGCTTTCGAATTTTGTAACTTTTGTTGGGTTCCGAGATTTTTGGAGTGTAATTTCGGATTTTGGGAAAAATATTAGTATTTTGATATGGAATTAATTCCTATAATTGTATGGACTGAATCAAATTTATTGTGGCCAGATTCGAGCCGTTCAGAAGTTGATACGCGCAGAATGGGATTTTTGGAGCATTATTTAGCTTGCTCGGCCTTGGATTCGTCTTGTTCGAGGTAAGTAACTCTTCTAATCTTGGAGCTGAGGGTATGAACCCTGAATATATGTATTATGTGAATTGTTTAGGGGTGACGCACATGCTAGATGACGGCGTGTGGGCATGCACTATAGAAATTGTGACGTAATTGTTCTGTGGAATTTTGTAGTCAAATAATCTTGGCATTTTTCATGCGGTTTTATGTGTTAAAAAAATTGAGCTGAGAATCATATTAAAAATAATGTGAGGCTATGTGCCAGTATTATTGAGACCCACAGAGGTCATATTGATGTGAATTATTTGTTTAAAATGAAATTTCATACTCACTCATATTCATTTCATTGCATATCATATCTGAGTCTCTGTTATTTATTGATACATCATATCATCATTTTAGGCTATTTTCATGACATTGTGAGCCCATGAGAGAGAGACTGGAGAGATTGATGACTGAGGGAAGCCGAGAGCGTGACTGTGAGGATATTATTATGTGGATCGGGGCTGCCCGCCTATAGCAGGACATATTGGCTTTATTTATTATTATTATTATTATTATTATTATTATTATTATTATTATTATTATTATTATTATTATTATTATTATTATTATTATTATTATGTGGATCGGGGTTGCCCGCCTGCAGCAGGCCTTATAGGCTTTACTATAGTACGTGAGTTGTCCGTGCATCACTTGAGTTGTCCGTGCGATTTATAGCGCATGGGCTGAAGGAGCCCCTCCAGAGTCTGTACACCCCCAATGAGCGTGGATGATACTATTGAGGGATGGATTTCCCTGGACATAGATTTGTCCGAAGTACTTACTACCTGGAGATGGATTTCTCCACAGGGTTGGATTGCCCTTTTCCCTCGGTACTGGGTGACTTATAGTCAGTGTTGTATATGTTCCGGGATGGATTTTCCTGGGCCGTATGGGCCATATACAGTACCGAGTGGTTGAGCATGATGAGTGAAAAGTGAGAAACAGTGAGATTGAGTACTCTAAGAGTGTGAGTACATGAGTTCATCTCTGAGATACATTGTATTGACATGCACACATGACATACATACATAGAGATGTATTTTTCTCATGCTGTACGGTATCACATCATTCATGATTTCTCACATATGTTGACAGATGGGCATAGTGATACATTTGTTTTACACTGGTTATCTGGAAAGAAAACGAAATATCTTATTTATTATTAAAATGATTTTTGGGAAAATTATTATTTTCAAACTTATTCATTCTTGGCAACTCTGGTAAACGATTTGAGTTTTTATTGATGTACTTGAAAGGCAGAACTATTTTCAGAAATCATGATTAAGCTGAGCATTTTTTTCTCTGAGTTACTTCTTGTATTATTTGCTTTACGTTGTTATGGACTATTGGTTTTGGACCCGACCTTGTTTCAAGCTCGTCACTACTTTCAACCTAAGATTAGGTTTGTTACTTATTAGGTACATGGAGTCGGTTGTACTCATAGTGCACTTCTACACCTTGCGTGCAGATATTGGCCGCTAATGTTGCTGCGTTCGTTGGGAGATGGATCTAAATCGGTTGTTGCTGCCTCTTGTTCATGGTAGCCTTAGATTCATAAAACTCTGTTATGTACTTTTCAAACAGATGATGTATTTACTTCATACCAGCTTTGTATGCTCTATTCTTATAAGCTCATGATTTGTACTACCAGTTCTTGGGAAATGTATAAAAATTAAGATCTTTATTTACTTAAATTGCTTTAATAATTGTTATTGAAATTGGATAATTGAAAGTTAGTTTATCTAGCGAGTTGGGTTAGGTGTCATCACGACTAGTTGGATTTTGGATCGTGACATTATAATTAAGGAATACTTATTTATCACTATTTATATATAAATGGTACACTGTATATAAAAATATAATTAAATGATAACCTCTCTACTATGGGTAAATAAGTTCATAATTTAATATAATTAGGTAAAAATCTCTTATTTTTAATTAACTTTGTTCCAGTATAAAATAGCATAGAACATATTATAGATGCATGCCAAATGAGATACAGACAACATAACATACTGATACTAATACTAATACAATAAGAATAATAATAACAATTAATTAGAGTTGCACGTGCAACACTGTGAAATGGCATCTTGGAGTAGTCATTCTAAATAAATTCTGACACAAAGAGGAAACCTTAGTAAGCAGCTGATGGCCAAGAGATATGTTGCAACCATAATCAAAATGCAAAACGTGTATACACTCAGAAATTTGACGAAGGGTGTTCAAACTTGAAATAAGTAAATAAAAAAATTCGATAAAATGTGTTCAATATATATTATGTGCCTCTAAAACTTAATATTTTACTTATACACGCAGTATAATTTTCCGACAAAGAGTTGTCAATCGACCTCCCTAACTTAAGTTTGGCCTCACCCCTGCGTGTATACGGCAGGATAAGCCAACAAGGCAGTTAACAATACAACATACCACTGTCAAGTGCCAAATACCACAAGACACAAATAGGGGTGGGCATTCGGTACTCTAATACGATATTTATTAATTATGGTTCGATACTTCGATATATCAATTGTGCATATCAAATACCATATCAAAGTAGTTCGGTACGGTTTGATATTTTCGTATTTGATCCGGTATAGTTTCAATATCATACCAATTACCAAGTCATTGTGAACAAAGCAGCGGTAAGACTCAAGACTCGAAAATACAGGAGAGTTGCTCAAGAATAGGCACAAGCCAACAACGTAGTCAAGTGCTAATGCTTACTACCGCCAATAAGAGCAAATTGTCTAATAAACTAACACATTAAGCTTAAATAAGTCTTAACAAATTCAAAATAATACAAATTATCTCAAATCAACTTAATACGAATTTCTGGAAGACGCTCAAGACAACTCTTGATATGCTTCCTTAAATCATGTGTCATCCCTCTTTTGATGAACATTAAAGACTCGACCACAGTGCTTGCACTCTACTTTGCGAACTTCTTCGTCAACTCCTACCTCCTCAAAATGTTCCCAAATATGTGAGCGCACTTTAGGAGCACGGTGCATGATTGAACTTGAACCTAACAAAAATTAAGATAAAATTATAAGTTAGAATATAATTTTTTGATGATAAAAGAACACAACTACAAAAGTATATCACCAAACAAATAGAGTATTAAACTTACTACTCAAGTTGCAACAATACATCAACAATGCTAGTAGTGCTTCCATTATTTTCCATATCTAAAGATAATTCGACCAAATATGTCATACAACATAAACAAGTGGAATATATTATTTTGAACTAAAATACAAATAAAATATTAAAGCTTACCAAGTTCGAGTTCCTCGAGATACTCCCACTCTTCTTCAACACTAATAGGATTCTTCTCTTCTGTAAGCCAATCTTGAACACAAACAAAAGCTTGCACGCATTTAGGAGTCAATGAACTCTTAAATGAATCAAGAATACGGCCACTGGTGCTAAACGCACATTCCGACACCACACTAGAAATTGGAATGGCTAACACATCACGAGCCAGCTCTGAAAGAATAGAAAATCTAGGAGCATGTATTTTTCACCAACTTAAGATATCAACATATAAGGCTCTTGTTCTTTACTAACGTATTTATCCAACTCCGATTTAGCACCCCCACTTCCATTGTCTTCCTTTTGTTTCTTCAAGTAAAGCTTCATCCTTAATGATGTAGTTATAACACTCTCACTAGATGTATTAGATGTGTTATCATATGAAGTAGATCTAGATGGAGATTAAGGACAAGATCTTGTTGATACCTTTTTAGATACTCTTCAAACAAAGAATTCATATAAACATACCCCTCATCTTTTATTTTCTTCCCTTTTTCCTCCCCAAAAAGTTCATCAAGTGCAAGGCTAACATATTCAAACTTGTTACGTGGATCCATGATGGAAGCAATAAAAATTATTTTATTCATCTTTTCATGCTCATCCGCTCAGCCATTTTTCTCAAATTCTCATCCTCACTAGTTAAACACATTTTCAAATGACAATAAAGTTCATATACATCCTCAAAATGAGCATTACAAGTGATTACAAGTGACATAACGTGAACTTGAAACTTTTTTGGTGACCTCGTAAAATCTTGCAAGAAACTTTATCACATTCCTCACATTCACCTAATCATCAGATTCAAGAGGACCTGCACTACTACTGTCTTCACAAAGATGAGAACAAATATAAGTAGAAAATTCATCATCAAAAAGATGAAACTTGTCAAAGGCCTTTTCAAAGTTTAGCGTCGTATCCAACATGCAATATCAAATAGGTGGAATTCCACCTAGTAGGAAAATCCAAACACAATATTTTGGTACATTCTACCTTTACATGTGCACAACATTATTTAAACTTTAAAGTCCTTGCAGGTGATGATCTCACATACCTCACAGTATTTCTAACAGTGTGACAGAAGCATCAATTTCTTTCAAACCATCTTGCACAATTAGATTAAGTATGCGAGCCATGCATCTCACATGAAGATGCTTACCACTCATCATATTAGTTTTCCACATATCTAACTTTTTAGACAATTCTTTGATTGTGACATCATTTGAAAAAGCATTGTCCACAGTAATAGCGAACACCTTGTCTAATTACCAATCAAGCAAACAATTACAAATAGCTTTAACCATCTCTTCACCCTTTGGACTAGTGATAGGGCAAAAATTTAGTATTCTTTTCTGCAACTTTCAATCCCTATCAATGAAGTGGGCTGTCAAACACATATAATTTATTCTTTGCAATGAAGTCCATGTGTCTGTTGTGAGGAAAATTTTTAGTTGTGCTTCTCTAAAAGACCTTCTTAGATTTTGCTTCAATTCATCGTAAACTTCATAACATTCCCTTCCTTGTTCTTGTTCTACGAGAAGGAAAACGAAATAGTGGTTGAGCTATTCTCATAAACTTCATAAAGCCTTCTTTTTCTACAAAGTTAAATGGTAATTCATCAATAACTATCATCTCAATTAAAGCCATCCTAACCACTTCTTGATCAAATTTCTAGAGCGATCCTCTATCCTTTTGGAAAGATTGAAAGGATATGATTATTTGAGTATTATCTTTATCAATGTTAGGTGGGTATTCTTTGCATCTAGTCAAATGATTTTCCAATCATGTTGTTCCATTCCTAGATGAATTAGGAACATAAGATTGCTTATAATATCTACACCTCGTTTCACTGATCCCATTTTCCTCAAATTTATCAAAATGATTCAAAACCATGGATCTAGAGTCTAAGGCTTTTCTTTTCTTAGAATCTTGAGTATCAATTATGTTGGCATTGCTATCTTCAGTAATAGGTAAGTTTTCAGTTAAATCAGCATCGCTTACTCTACTTTCATCCGCCATCTATACAAAATTAAAATAGATACAAACACAAATTGAGACTAGAAACGCTAGAGGAAAATAAGAACAAACGAACAAATCAAGCAGTCGACTATTTCAATGATGAACAAACGAACAAATAGCATGATTATCTACAGACTACGGCTGCATTTGGTTTGGACTACTATAAATAAGCTATCAAGAGAAGTTAAACATAGCTGCAGACATGTCAATTGCATCTTAATTCAATAAAAAAATGGAACAATTTTTGCATTGGTTGGGCAAACTAACACAGATAACACAGATTGCAAACACAAATGAATATCTACAGAGTACTGTGAGAGTATGAAACGGTTGAAACCTTTAAGACTCAAAATGTATGGATCTCCTTACTGATAAAGTCCTAACATATTGGTGTATTACAGCATTGAATGTATTATTGCTATGGAATGAAAAAATCGAAACCACCGGCCAACCAGAAAGAATCAGAAACATTATAAAATACTATTCCGCCGGAGTAGACGATCGAAAAATTAATGCTAAATTGATTCAATGATGAAAACTAAAGATTGAAGAATGAAGAAGTTGTGAACCTGTTGAAGACTTAAGATCGAAGAATGAAGGTAAAAAATGAGGAAACAAGCAGTCGCCGCCGGCGAGGTCGTTTAGGAGCAGATCGGAAATGAAGGGTGTGGCTGTTGGTGTCGGGCTATCGGCATATGTGAAGTTGTGGCTTGTTGCTTTTTGAATTTTGAGAGAAACCTAGGGTTAGAATTTAGGAAATAGAAATGAGGGAAAGGACCAAGGGAATTAGGGAAACTGATACTAGGTTGGGGCTTGGGGCGTTGGGCAGTTGGGGTGTTGGGCTTAGTTTTATTAGGCTGGAAAATAGAATTATAGAGGCCTGCAATATTTCGGTATATCAAAATATAGAAAAGTCAATATTGATTAACGTACCAAAATAATGAAATACCAAATAAACAGATATCGAAATACCAAATTAAGTCGATCCGATTCGAAATTACTTTTTTTGGATTTTATGCTCACCCCTGCTATATACAGTTAAAGCCACAATAGCAATTCAGTATAATGAACAAAGAGTACACATAATAACCTTACCTAGGGAGCTTGATAGACGACAAAAGAAAAAAGGAATCAAATTTCAGATCTGTTTTTCACCAGTTGAACTATTGAGGTAACTGAGCCAGTCCAGTTGGAATATTGTAAATCTGTTCATAGGAGTTCAGATCATAATATTCGTTCAGCAATCTAGACTCAAGAAAAATTAGAATACGTGACAAGTGGGAGACATTTTTCAGGCTCACAAACAGAAGAAATACTGATTCCTGCCTATTGATTAACTTTTGCATCTTCCAGTAGCTTAATGAGACCCTTGTTTCCACCTACTCGAACTTCATTAAGTGGAGATTTTCCAACCAGCAAAAATGAATGTTCCGATAAGAAATCTGCGTTGTCAAGAAACATGAATCATTACACTATGCTAGATCTGTAGCAAATCAATGTTTTAGCTACTATAATGGAAGCAAATGTCTTTTAAAAGTAATCCATGCATTCTTTAGTGGAAAGGATACAAAATAGAGCAGCATTTATCGCATAAATCCTTGTTAGGACCTTTCACTTGCAAAGATCCTTAATTGAGAACCATTTCAAATATGAAAATGAAATTCAATCATCAAATAAATGATTCTCAAGGCAGGTATTCAATCACTGTAAATACATAAATGAGCCCCATATGCAAAATATCATATCACAAGATCCAAATATGGTGAAGAAGATCTTAGTTCTTTCTGGAAAACATTCATCATAATTATGAGCTGAAACTTCTTAAAGAAGTGTAATCTTTTGTAGAGCATAACAACCGCTAAAGTACCCAACAGGAACCAACTTAGCTTATTAACATCCATTGCTTTATAATCCTCAAGAAGTAGACTGAAAAGAGGTAATCGCTGCAAGTGCAATATACCAATGTACTCGGTCCTTTTACTCTTTCGTATTGCATACCCCTTCTACTCTTTCTTTTTTTCTTTGGTTAAGCTTTTCTTATTTCAGAAACAATGAAGATCAGAGTGGAGATTGCAATGGATTCAAAGTTACTGTAAACAAAAAGGCTAAAATGTATTAGATGGAATCTGTAAGAAAGTTCCAAGTTTCAAGATTGTAGCTTAACATAAAGGACGGCGTCAGGAAAAAAGAGCCCAATATCTAAGTGAAGAGAAACAAATGAACGGAATTGATCTTTCTCAGCGATGATTGAACAAAAATAATCACATGGCAATCATAAGAAATTCAAGAGATCACTGCTGAAAACAATTACCCTTCCACCAAATAGTACATTTGTTTCCACTAAATCTATTAATAGAAAATAGAAAGCTTCAACCATGTCCTTTTTAATTTGTCAGACAATATAATTCGCGTCACCTAGCACTAGTGTTAGCATGTACTTTTTGAGGTTTGATCTTTAACATGATTCCTATCCGATATTGCTGCAGCTTTCTATTTCCTGAATACTTCTCTTAGAAAAAGCCTTGAGAAAATATTAAAGCAGAATTTAAATTATACTCATCTTACATGTTTAATACTCCTATTACTTAACATGGTTATATGATAATGTAAGTTCAAATATAAAGGCACATATCACAAACAGAAACAACTGAAATAAATTAAATATACACTCTACAATATCTACACGTAAATAATCAAAATTAGGCAGAAAATATTAGTACCTATGATTGCGAGGACCTGAATGGAATAAATAAAACAATTCTTGCATAAATGAATGATGATAATATGACTCTAAACAGAGAAACTGACATCTCTACAATGATAAAGCAAATCTTGCTGCGCTTCTATTCAAGATAAGACGATGCACTTTGGAAAGTCGACATATCATCATTGAGAAGAATCAAAGGGAAAAAGATTGAAGCCAATAGAAGAGCGATACTCACTGGAGTCCAGAATGCATAACACACACAATTACCACAACACAGAGTGCAACCTGATACAAAGAAGATGAAACAAAACATAGCAGCAGAAGCATCGCAGCTAAAGAAGCTGGAGAAAGACTGTAAATTAAGAGAAAAGCAAGCAATCCATTGACTGTTTGTGCTCTATTGCATTCTGGTTGGAGGAAATCAACGATTTTTTGTTTAGCTCATCCCCATACCAGAAAAGCATTAACAATTATTTGGTAAAGCTATGATGCTCATCTTGTCGTCCCAAATCAAAATTTATCAGTCAGATGAACTCCAAGGGTTAGCTTTTTCCACCAAGCCAATCTACTAAGAATTCAACGTGCAGCTCAAAGGACTGAACGATCGAAAGAAATTAAATGAACAATGAAGAGAAAGAAAAAAGAGTACCTTAATCTTTTTGACCAAATCGTAACCACTCATTCCGGGCATACAATCATCTGTATTTTAAATTCACCTTCAAATCCTAACATCAAAACCAATTGCGGAATTGTACCATCTAATAGGGCACATGAATTAGGGTGAACAACTGAACATTAGAAACAAGAACTGCAGATGTTGTCGAAATGCAGGCCACTGTCCTTTTGCATATTCTAACCCTATTTCATTTTTATCTTGCCTTTCAAAGAATTTGGACCAGCTATAGAAAACGCCGAAATCACAAGCAAGAATTGCAACGTTCAAAGAGCTGAAGATTAAAGAATATGAATGAGTGAGTAGAAGAAAGGTGATGAACCAGAGAAAGCAATTAGTGGCCAAACGATACGTGGCTATGCACTTTCAGGTTAAAAGCTTCTTCTTAAAGCATCATTTTTATTAACTTTGTTCTGATATGAAATGGCAACGAAGGGAAATACATGCATGTAAATGACTGCCATATCAGATATAGATGATATCACATAACTTTGTTTTGCCATGAAATGGCAGAGAAAAAAAATAGATGCTAGTAAATTATTACTGTTCACCTACTAATTACTGGATATTATTTAAATATATTCTGGAACAAACTATCCACTAATGGATATTGTAGGGTTTCCAAACGATACATTATCTATCCATGGGAGCACAAACAATATGTACTCAAATGATAGTTGAAAATACCATATCTTCCATTTTTTTTTGAAGATATAAGATAATATCATTGAAAGGGCATCACGAAGATGCCAAATTAGAAAAGACATAAATTGTGTTAGCTTCCGTACAAAAGACAAAAAACATTGTAAGCTCTAGTACAAGAGTACCTATGTTGGAACCAGGGAGCTAACAAAATCCAAAAAAGTGTCAATGCTATTAACAAGGGAAAGAAAGTTCCAACTGAACAAACTAACTAAACATCTAGCTTTTAGGGAATGTGTTGAAGTTGATATTCCATCAAAACATTTGTCGTTTCTTTCATTCCAAACAATCCAAAATATGACTGCTGGGATCATTCTCCATATTCTTTTGATGGCTTTGTCAACTCTCCAAACTATCCAGCTAATATAGGCTTCATTGATGGTTTAAGGTATGATCCAAGTTATACCAAAAATGGATAGGAAGAAGTTCCAAATATCAGCGGTGACTGAGTAACGGAGAAACAAATAGTTAACACTTTCTAATCTTTGTTGACACATATAGCATCTGTTGACTAGAGTAATGCTCCTTCTGCTAAGATTGTCTTGTGTTAAAACAACTTCAATGAGGATAGTCCATGTGAGGCATGCTACTTTGAGTGTCATTCTAGTCCTCCAAACATGTTTCCAGGGTCAATCCTCAAGTATTCCATTCTGTAAGCAGATAAGGTTGTAGCTCTCTTTGACTGTGTACATCCCTTCTTTTGAATTCCCTCAAATGATTATGTCTGGTTGTTGATCTTCAGTGATAAAATCTCCCAGTGTGGCTATGAGAGCAAGTAAGTCATTGATTTCCCAATCATGAAGATTTCTTCTAAACACAAGATTCCAAATGTTGTTCTCTCTATTTTGAGCAATATTTGAGTCATGACTGCAGGTTATTAGGTATAGACCTAGGTATAAATCCTTTAGTATTGTATTACCAAGCCATATTTTTTAGATTGTTTGTACCAGTATTGAACCCTTGACATAGTAGTTTGGAGAGAATTCCCCAACCACTATGAACAAGGATGGCCAAAATTTTACATGAACACCATTACCAACTTTGAATGATGTATTTTGAAAGAAATCATATTGAAAGCTGATGATGTGTTTCCATAAACCCACTTCATGATGTGCTGAACTTTTCTTGGGGCTCCAAGGATTCTGAATTCCATATTTAGCGTCAATGATCTCATTCCAGTAACCTGTTTCAGTTTTTCCATACCTTCATAGCCATTTCAATAGCATACATTTATTGTGAAGGCTAAGATTCATATACCAATCCCCTATAAGACTTTGGTTGAGTTACTTTTGGCCACCTAACAAGTAAAAATTTGTGAGTCTCATTGTTTCCTTCCCGTAAAAACCTTCTTCTTAGCATGTCTAGTTGTTTTAAGACTGAGCTTGGCATAGGAAACTGATGTAATAGAAGAATCTATGTTAAATTTTATTAATTTTGACCAAGATCATGTTTTAGAGCACAAGTCCAAACATATGGACTTAATTTCAAGAAGCGCAAGAAGTCCAAGAAGCTCAAGATTGATTTCAAGAAGCGAAGAATCTTTCCTTCTTAAAATAGGATTTATTTTATTCCTTTTAGAATAAGGATTTTCCTTTTAATAGGATTCTAGTTTCTTTTCCTTGTAGAATAGGGATTTTACTTTCCTTGTCTTTAGTTATTTTCTTTTCTTATTAGAATAGGAATTATAGTCATCAAAGAAGAGACTTTAGGCCTATATAAAGGGTTCTCTTCCCTTGTAGACGAAAGA